AGAAATTCGGTGTCAACGAAAGCAAAAGCACAGAATCAAATCACATTCACAGAAAAGGCGCCGCACAGCGCGATACTACAATTTTCGATCTGGAGAAGCGCAAAAGTATCAAAGATGATCAGTAGTACATCCATGGCATTGGTTAGGCTCAGGTCATAGCATCTGCACTCACTGAAATAAAGATTTAGCAATCACTTGGAGGATCTGAGTAATGCGCAGCCACTGTTAATTGCACGAGAGAAGAACATATTATTCATAACTGCACTATTTCCCAAAAGGGTTGAGATGATAACACTTTCGAAATATTTGAACTCACCTTGATCGTACGATCACCACTAGCCGACACAATGTAACGCTCGTCAAAATCTACCACGTTAACGGCTGCGCGATGACCGGAGAGGATGACACGCAGGTGGATCTCCTTCGGAAGCGCATCCATGTCCCAAACCGCGATATTACGGTCCTACACATGCATAAAAGTACATCATACACTATTAACTACCTCGAGAGGAGGAATGGCAATGACTGGATATTTATCCTCTCCTTCAAGACCTGACTCGCTATCCATCCACGACTTTACAACCAACTAATCTCCTAGCACTATCATCTGCAAAGATTCGTCTCAAACTGACGCGAGGAAAGACAATAAAGTCGTGACCACACACACTTCCCAAGCCGAAACAAGTAAGCCCGATCTCCCAGCACCTACTAGTATCGAGGAAATGCATTCGCCAATGCCAATGCCACGGAATAGCATGGGGGAAAGGGTAAGATAGGAAAGAGGTTGTAAAACAAAGGCACTGCGTGTAAACATCCACCCACAGACATCAACCTTAACCTATGATATAACACCAACTCAATCACATTAAGGGCAAATTCAATTTAACCCATTTAATGTTTACCAAAACTACTACCTCTTCATCACCTCCCGCCTAGACTAAGGAGATTAAGAGTTGTGCGAAAATGAAGCACACAAAGGTGAGTAAACGCACCTTCGAACATGTGACAAGAACATTATTTCGGAAGCGTAGGTGTAACACTGCCTCGTAGTGCTTATCAAGGATGTGAAGGCACTCGCCCGTAGACAGGTCCCAGATGCGCACTTTGGAGTCACTGGAACCGCTGATTAACAGGTTACCCTCGTACTGCAGACAGAGCACAGAACCGGTATGACCTCGCAGCACCTAGAGGGAGGCAACTGACATTTTCAATGCCACTTCCATATTTTTCACTCTCTTCCACCATTCCAAATCCCACCTTCACCTCACCCCCACTCTCCTCTCTTTTCTTTAATTAACGTGGAGAGACCCACCTGTGTACATTGGTAACCGTCAGATTCCGATTGAGCGGCCTCACTTTCGTTCCCTGCCGCAGCACCGCCATCCCCTCTCTCGGCGTGTCCACCTGCAGCTGTTGCCACCTCTGCCGATGCGGAGGCGATAGTGGGAATATCACCAGCTGCACAGGCGGCGAAAACAGAGTTGGCCGATGCAGGGCCCACACGGCGCCACACCTTGATGGTGTCATCCCGTAGCCCTGAGACAATCTTTTCTGAGTCGTATTGCAAGCAATAGACACCTTTGGAGGTGTCGCTGTGACACCTAATCCGGGTGAGCCGAAAACGACCATGGTTCCAATTGTCATTGATTCGCTAAAATGCATATCAAAGCAATTATTGTAATATACCTCAAATGCGTCAAGAACCGTCATAACCCGCACATCAAACATCGAGTCCGTGCAATGAGGTACACACGGCGCCAAAGCATCACAAATAGGTAAACGAGACGCAAAATGGAGATACGTAATACAGTCACCAGCTCTGACCTGAATGGCCAATGTGACACCCAAGTGTATGCGTCAGTAAAAAGTTCAGAGTAGGAAAAGTACACGCAATTCGCCCACAAATGTGTGCTAGGCTGTGGCTATTGCGTAAATAGATTGAGGCCGCGGCTAAAAGCGGCACATCAACGACTTAGAACTAGCATAGTGCTTAACTAAGGGTGCACGTACGGAACTACGGAAGTGAAAAGAATAATCCATGCAAAAAGTGGTCTGAAGATGATAGCGAGTAGTCAAGCAAGGGATATTTTGCAGTAATCGTAAGAGCTATAAGCAAGGAAATACCAACAAGCAAGTTTTGAAAATACACTGAAGCTACTTGTGAAGGGTAAGCTCCAATGGTAGAGATTTTTGGAGATAAGAAAGACGATACATTCATTCAATTTTATTCATCCTCAAAGCAGGTCAAACTAGAGCGACTATAAAGATACGAAAACAGGAAGTAATTTACAAGGCGTGGAGCCTGTAGTTATTAAGATTCGACAATAACTGAGTTAAGTAAAGTTGAAATCAAATGATGAAACACTGGTCAACTCTGTAACCGCCGCTCGCTGAGGGAGTCGAGATTAAAATGTGCGAGCAGCGTGCACATTCATGGGGCTTTGAAGACCTACTGTTGTGTGTGAATATACTACATTCCAATAGAGTGCCCAGAAAATCTTAATTTCTCACATCCACTCGAGTCCTGTAGTTACAGGATGTGGGAATTTACATAGCTCAAGAGCCAGGTGACCATATGGAGTGGCTCGGAGCGTACGTTTGATCGTCCGTTAATCGGTGATTTATGGTTATTCAGCGAAGTGGTGAACTTGTTTCCCATTGCGCACTGTAGTGACGAATGCAAAAATATGACGAACCCTGGCAATTTTGACGATAAGAAACAACCAAAAGTTATGCGGCACAAAATTGCTTTTGCGATTACTAAAGTCTTTAAAGGTACGCCAACCTTCCAGTAAAAGTTATGCGCAAAAGTAAGGAAACAACGATCTGGGAGTTCGAACGACCCTAAAGCCTTCAAACCACTATAAGGGCGAAGCTACAATGAGGCAAATCAATCACCTGACTCTGCAATAAATGCGGTAACTCGATGCATATTTAGCAAAACAATAAAATTATGTCAAAACGAGTTTAATTCAATTAAGATAACTCACGCGGATGTCACGAATAATACGAGGATAAAGCTGCTTATAGAAGCGATGTGCAAGCATCATCTTCTCAAAGGAACAAGATTGGGAATAAGTAGGCGTGGGGGAAGCAGCTGTCGCCACCGCACCTGCGGTAGCAGAAGTAAGGGAAGTCGGTAATAGATTCCAGCTGTCGCCAAATGGAGTCGGTTGCTGAGGCTGGGGAAGGAGCTTGATTGATGAAAACTCTAAGCCCCGTTTCTGTGCCTGCCCGCAGTTTAACAAGGATAAACGCTGTTCCAGGAGTGAAGAGAGGACGGTTGGATCAGGCAAACTGATGAAGGAGAGCCAGCCGCGACGCTCAGCGAGTCCGCGCCACATATGATCAGACTCAATGCGCCGCGAGATCAGTTTACGCCAGAGCTGGTAGCGGACAACTATTCTCTGCCACCCTCTGGATACTAATTCGACGGCCAGCAGGGAGGTTGCATCGAGGTAGGAAAGGATATCAGCAGAAATGTTTGACACACCACTGGAGGGTAGGGCTGTGATAATATCACACTGAAGTAGGGGCTCTAGGAGACTATTGATCTGGGAGTGCTGTGCGTGTGTCATACGGGAAAGCAACTGGCAAAGAAAGTAAACTTGGTCATCCTCATTCCATTGACTAAACGCTTCAATGTAGCATTTCTGCTCAGTGACAACCTCTGTTCGCGTCTTCTTCTGAACTGTAACTATGTCCATCCCCTCACCTGAGGAGCGTTTGATACTGATGGGCAAACCTGGATGAGACTAAAATAAAGAGATATGTATTAGCAAAACTATAAACCAGGGCGTAATTAGAAAAAAAGCAACATAAGGGAAAGACGAACTATAAAATATGGTGGACGAATACTTTAAAGAGTAAAATAGAGTGGCAGTGTTCTGAGACAAACTGTACAAACAAATCAGCCTATAATAGTTTATAAAAAAGCCGAGTCGCAAAGTGCAAAGCATTATAAACTAATTCCAGGCATCGCAGGTAGTCAGAGGAGCAATACAACAGCCGTTACAAAATAATGATGACATTTGAAAGACACTAGAAGCCTTTCACAAGACTGTTTTCGAAAACGCCAATAAAAAAACAAAGCGGCTAACAACTCGCATTTTCATAGGCTGTAAAATTTCCTCCACTTCCTGATAAAAGACGCAGGTCTTCATCATCGACTGGAGCATCGCCCATTTCAAAGGCAATCAAAACGGGTTAAAATAAGTGGCGCCAAAATCACCACTTAAAACAAACATCAAGGAAATTAAGCGTTCCAAAGTGAGCAAATTATAAAAGTGTACAAATATTTTATAACAAAACAAGTTTTGTGCGCATGCAAGATAAATTAAACTATAAAAGTTTACAGGTGAAAAGCAAGGCTAATATTCTGTGCCAAATTTATTTATAGCCAATTTTTATTTTTTGTTTTTGTGGCGTTCCGAGGCTTTTCATAGGGTGAAGGAAGGTATAAGTAAAATTGAATACATGTACTCGAAGACAAAAAAGCAAACGGAATTTGATCGTGGCCCGGAGGCCAGTCCACGCGTACAGGGGACAGACAAACTGCAAAGTGCCCGCCAACCGTCAGGTAGTCACACAAACAGAGTATTACACTACCATTTTCTTCTTTTGAGCAACGTCCTTGTTGCTTCTCTTTGGTACACCTTCCGCGCCAGCCATCACAACACATTCGGTACTACAAGAAAGTATCCACGAGCCAATCGCACCGGTCACGAAACTGAGGAACCGTACTTGGTCTCCTCGACGCATTTAATTGGATCTGGAGTTACATTCGTTCTGTCAACCAGATTCAGGGCCGCATACACCTGTTGACCATCAATTGCTCCCAGGAATAGGCAGTGGAACTCTGGCCTAAAAATTATACGTCACAGGATAAACGGGTGAGCCACTGTCCCGTATCTAAGGAGAACCGTGGTGTCATTTCCGACAGCTAAACACGGATTATGTATGGGAAATTCCGACACAAAACTTTTGCAGGTAGTTCACGGCGGTGTCGCTTCAGTTGTTAATGACTTGTCTGTGGAACAGGAAATAGGGTGTAACCAAATGTAAACTTCAGTCCAAATCCTTTCGTTGTGAAGGGCTCAGGGATTCCTTATCACCTAGGTAAATGCGCCTTCTTCAATTCACGTCTTCTTTGCACTTGTATCTTCAGCAACTGCACTTCGATAGTCAGACTTCCTTCGACACATGTGTAGCTCATGATTGCCAGTGTGCAACGACAAAATGCGCCTAATGATCTTGGATTTCTCCACTATACAGTAGAATTCCTTTGCAGCCTTGTCTGCTGGTTGGATTATATCCTTCTTGTTGTGAAAAGAGAGGGTTCGAATTTCCGACCAAGAGAACCCGATTTCGGGGTATCTGCATGCATTGAACCCGTGCATCATTCGATCGAACCGTTGCTCTTCGATTTGTTCGTACTGTTCTTTTCCGGAAATCAATCGATGACTTGGCAAAGTTTGACAACACAAGCGTAGATTGTCAGTAAGGCAGCACTGTCCGGCCCCATGTGCCCTGTCGCCTTCGGAATACATGTATTCGACCTCACTTATGCCCTCTTCCACCCTATGGGAAGTCTCGGGACGCCGCACCTATTTCGCTTGTATCTTCATCTATTGCACTTCGATAGAGTCAGACTTCCCTCGGCACGTGTATAGCTCATGATTGCCAGCGCGCAACGCCAAAATGCACCTATTGATCTTGGATTTCTCCACTATAAAGTAGAATTCCTTTGCAGCCTTGTCTGCTGGTTGGATTATATCCTTCTTGTTGTGAAAAGAGAGGGTTCGAATTTCCGACCAAGAGAACCCGATTTTGGAGTCCAACAGTTTATCAGGCTCATAGATACTCAAAAATCTCCAGATCCTGTGTGACTTTTAGGTACTGGACCATTTTATCATCCAAACGACCCATTGCTTGTCGGCTTGTTCGTATTGTTCTTTTCAGGAAGTCAGTCGATTAATTGGCAAAGTTTAGCAACACAAACGTAGGATGCTTGTAAGGCAGCGGTGTCTGGTGGGCAATAGATTTCCCCGGACACTGTGTCGCTTTTAACAAACGACCAGTGAAGAACAAGCCACAGGGAAAGACCCAAACTTGATGACAGCAGAAGGTCTTCAAAAGCACTTCATACCTAAAAGTTCACCACCACCTTCTGGCCGGTATAAGAAGTCATTAAGTGCAAATGGATTCGTGTACCCTGAAGACAACAGGACAAATGGGACCGGGCGTCGCCAGGAAACCAGTTCACATGTACGAGGGCCAGACAAATCCTAAAGTGACCACCAAAATTCATGTGGTCACATGAACAAAATATAATGATTGTAATTCTTTGTTTATGCGACTATCTGACGTTTGGCGGTCACTTTAGGACTTGTCTGGGCCCTGTACACGTGGGCTTGCCTTCTGGCCACGCCCAGGCCCCATTTCTCCTATTGCTTTCGGAATACATGTATTCAACCTCACTTATGCCTATCACTACCCCATTGGAAGCCCCGGGACGCTACATTGGTGGCAGCGGAAAGCGAACCCGACATCTTTTTAACGACTTTTAGGTATAAGGTGCTTTTG